TCAAAAAATCAGTTTGTGATTAGATCCATCTATTTTGAGTTTGGGTCCAATTTTAATATCTGGTGAGACAGAGAGCTGCATAGACAAACAGGTCACATATGATTTTAATACTTGGATAGATGGATGAACACATAGATTGATAGATAGATGAAAAGATGGATGCACACCCTCAGACTGATGCATTACCATTTTTAGTATGTACATCTCTCACACATCCCTGCCACTGTCTAAGTACTGTCCATAAAGTCAATTCTACTATAGCATGCATTAAATATTTCACTAAAATAAATAAATACACGTAACCATGACTAACAGGGACACCACTCTGAATGTTAGCCAGTACTTTATGCAAACCTCTTTAAACAGCAAAATGAAAAGATATATTTACAAAGGGTCTCAGGGAAACTATAGGTCTTTGTCTGCCCTCAGACACATATACCCAATTCTTTCTCCTCTTTCTTCACCCAGCACTGATCAGAAATCAAGTTTTAGTGAACTTTTGTTTTTGTTTAAGATTCCATTCAACAAAAAAAATGAAGAGTAGAGTATCAGCCATAGTCCTAGGACTTCATAAGTTAGGAGGTTTTTGCTGGATGAGTTTGCATTCTCCATTCTGATTACTGTTTTGTTTTCCATTGATCCTCCTGTGTTAATAAAACCCAGTCTGGAGTGAACAAAAGCTTGCTTCTTGGTCTAGTAAGAAATGTGCCGGGTGCATACCATATCATTAACATAAAAGTTTCTAAAATAATACAGCTTTCTAGACAGACTGTATTAATTGCATCAAGCTTTTTACAGCAGGGTGGTCTAATCGAGCTCTTATTGGCTGACTCCAGTTATAAAACCAACACAAAATGAATACGGTGACATAACTGAAGGAGGTAAGAGTATCCTTTTAAAACCTATTATTTACCTACAGGGACTTCTTTTATCTTCACTCTCACCTTAACCTTTGCCAAGAAAACATCACACTAGTTAAACGATGGAATAAGTAGAATTTCAGTGGCCAAGTAAATTGATATTAACTTTACAAGATGACTGTGTGATTTTCAGAATGTTCTAATGACTAATACAGCTGATTTCTTGAATTAACAGGAGCTTGTTCTTCTCTTCTGAGCTATGGCCCCATGCCTTCTTCTATTTTAGACCTTAAATTTCACAGCCCTGTCCATTAATCACTGCTGTCCATGACCACTTGCTGTTTTTATATATGCAACTAAGCATCGTAATTGCTTTCCACCTCCTTCCATCAGCCGACATGTGGGAAGGAAGCAGTTTCACTGCTTAGCTGAATGCATGTGTATTGGACAGAATTAATTATCTTTACGGAGGTATATAAAACTCTCACTCATGGGCCTAGGCCCAAAGATTTTGGATCAGGTACATACCTGAATGCAGACATAGTGGATAAATTATTATCTGTGCCTTTGCACTCCCCTTTGTCTTATGCCGATTTTAATTCCATTTCTGGGCGTTTGCGCCATAGGATCTTCAGGACAGGGACTTTTTTCTTTGGAGAGCACACTGTAAAGTGCCATGTACTTCTGCACTGAGATTTTCAAAGCTCATTTCTCGTTAACTTTAATGGGAAATGGGCATCCAAATCTCTTAGGCAGCTTTGACAATTTAAGCCTTAATGTACACTATTAATAAATCAGCATCATAAAAAGAGCCTTATGAAGATGTATTTTGAAAAAAAAATAGCCCCACTAAATGCATTGCAGTGTATGTGTGCATGCATATGGGCATATACTTTTCTTTACATAATTACGTCTCTCAACAATCATTTGCATGTCTCTGTTATGCCGAAAAACCTCTGTGTGTTTTACAGTTACTCTGAGCAGTTGCAATTCATTGAAATGAAATAAAAAGCAGGCTCAAAAAAGCACCCTAAGCTGGCAAGGGTTAAAGCAAAATTAATGCTTTGCCCATTTATATTTCAGATCCAAACTATACAACCCTGTGAATTCCATGACTCTATTCCAACTTCTAATTAAATAGGCACTAAAAACATTTGAACGGGAGAACCCAATTCAACAGACAGAAGCCTCTGAGGCAAAAAATAAAGAAATAAATAGGCAGAGAGATTGTTCCAGTGGTAGACTATTTTTTTTTTTTAAATCACATGGAAAAACATAGACTTTTAATCACAAATTCCTCATCCTGTGGTACTCTGAACAGACAGAACTGAACAAAGACAGAGGGGACCACGACCAGCACTGGCCAAGCAACACAGCAGACACCCAAGCAGAATTTCCAACATCATTTACTGTGATTGAAACTACTATCAGCAGCGTGTTTTCTAAAGATCGCAAACAGCTCTGGATGAGGCGGCACAACTTCCCCTGTGCATGACTGAACACTACTCAGCATTCCGGGCGATTGCTCTTATGTAGGTCGGAGATTTCCAAATGCAGTTTTCACACATGCGTACCCCAAATCACACTGGCAGTCAGAAGTTTAGATTCTCCAGCACAGAACTGCTGGGACTCTTGAGAGCCTGATTTGTGAGTGCCCAGCAGAGATTTGGGAGTACCTGCAACTTCCAGCCTTCAGAGTCGAAGCCTGCTTGAGAACTGCATGGAAAAACGCCAGGTCCTGAATTAAATGAATGCTGAAAAACAGGAAAGGTAAGAAATGATGAAGGAGGAGGAGAGGCGGGAACTGTTGATGGCTTTTGTTCAAAGAAGGAAACAATTCCTCAGAAGCAAGAACAGGGCTGACAGAATAAAAGGCTAATCAAGTCAGAAAGACAAGCAGATCTCTAAAGCTGGACTGTTGTAAATGGCTATATTAAAAAAGAGTGCACAATGCAGGTATTGTCACTAGATTATTAGTCAAGACAAAGAACACACTTTTATTTCATTTCCACAAAACATTTTGGGTGCTGGAAAGATCCCATAACCCTTGACACAGGCTCACATACAGGGGATATTACGGGAGATAAGAAAGGGTTAAGTAGACATAATCTCCTTTTTCAAGGGAAGAAAATGTTTCTTTCAAGCAGAACTTGACCAACTACTGTCATAAACATGTAGCGTGCACTTTGATATAACCTATTCTCTAAGTGCCGCAGACTGCAGCAGTAATTACAGGAAGCCATGATAACAGGTCTCTCTCTCCACAGAGCTGGCATCGCTCTCCCAGCAAACACGCAATTCTGAAAACTCACAGAGTACAACTCCAAACTGAGAACTCAAAGTACACAAAGTACAAAAGCCTCACCTTCCCACATTCTTTAATAAGTTATTCCTTCCTTCCTTTTCTATTTTTAGTTGCGCTTGCTTCTCTCCCCACTAGCTGCTGGCATCAGAAGCAACAGGGAACCCGGGCATCCAGTTCACTGTTACAACTACCTGCCTACCAGAGGCACCTGCGTGCATACTGCACCGGTGAAGGCAGAGAACAGCAAAACATGAGATCAGTTCCAGCTTGGTTTACTGGTACAGGCAGGAGGGAAAGGGGGAGGCGGAGAAGGTATCTGACTTTCTGACCCAGCGCTCACCATTCAGAAGAGCCCATCTCCGCACCCGTCTCAGGCCAGTTGGTCAATCTGCTGAGGCTGATGAAGCAGAGCCTGATTAAAACAGCAACCCCACCGCGCTGCGTATGGCAGCTCGGATAGGAAATCTGACCAAATCCCCCAGACACACCGACTGCAGGGCAGGACACAGCACATTGCTGCAGGCTCAGTGCCTGCGCCCCGGCACAGGCAGCTGGTGTAGGCTGTCTCTCCCAAGAGGCACGAGGGCCTTCCTAGCACACCCTGAGCTTCACCTGGGGTCAGAACAGGACCCTGCAGAGTGTTCTCAGCCTCCTCCCGAGGATATTTTTATCTTTCAAGACCGAGGGTTTCCAAGATGCAAATTTATATTTCTTGCAAATTTTTTTGTCTTGCTTTATTATAATGACAAGAGATGTACAGGGACATTCTCGTGAGATATTGCGTACTGCAGCCAGGTGGTACCGCTGCTTGTGGAAGGAAAAAGCTGAGCGCAGCAAAGTTCTGCCAGCTTCAGGGGGACATGAGGAGCCGTTTCCCAAAGGCTTCACTCCTGACAGTCGTTGATGTCTCTCTAAATCCTCTGGTCCTCACTCATTACTTACCCAGCATCATTCTGGGAACTCCTATTAAAACTCCATGCACGTTACCATGAATGAGGGCTGCAGGGTTTGGCCCACCACCATGAGACTACATAAACGCTTGCGGATTTTGCCACAGCTGTATTTTCTTTTAAGCCCTCCCCATTTTCACCTCTCCAGCCTGCAGTTCACCATAGACCAAATCTTGCAACTGAGCCACGCTCAGAAACACCCACTGATTTCAAAGAGATCGCTGGGTCTGAAATGATGGGGTCTGGCAACAATATGTCCGTGTCCTCTTTGGCTAGCTCAATGCGCCCTCATTTCCCCATCACTTTCCCCTCCTCCTGGTGACAAAATCAGGCATCCAGAAAGAAGAAAGGAAAAGAAAAGCTGATGGAGGAGAATTGAGGGATGCGTGGCAAGTCACCAAAGAGCATTTTCTCAATGCAAGGGAGAAAACAGCATGGAGCACATACATCCTGCGTGCACATGGATGTGGAGGACAGCCTTTAATATGAGTGACTGGGGGGAAGGGAAAAAAAAATATAGAAGGAAAAAAAAAACCTTCAGATGTTAAATGTTACCCGATTAAGCTTAAAATAAACAGCCCAGAGAGATGAAATCTTGATACTGAGGTATCACAGTCTGTGAGGACTCTCTGACTATAGTTCACAACATGGCACAAACAGCCCAGCAGCTGTTGGTGACAGCGAAGGTGGGCAAGCAGAGGAGGAGGGATGGGGAGAAGGATGGATTTGAACGCCCTTTCCCACTCCCCATCCTCTGCCAGCATGGAGGGGGAAGGAGGAAGGAGAGGGGGGTGGTCTAGGGAATTTTCTCTGCCTTCCCCACGCGACCCAGCGAAGGCAGCTCTCCCACAGCAAAGACCGACAACGCTTGGCAGCACTACTGACCTTCAGATAGCAACAAAAAAAAATGTTTCTATTACCTGACAACTGACAATGACATCCAAATGTGCCTGACGTCTCAGTCTGAATCTCAGTCTGAGTCCCGCCAACTGAGACTGCACGTGCACCACAGCAGGGCAGGCTAAGGCAGGGCGGGAGGGAGGCCAGTGCGCGGAGAGGTGACGTGATCACGGATGTGTGAGGGTGGGAGGAGGCAGCTATGGGAGCCCCCGGCAGGTTTGCAGGCCTGGACGGCCCTGGAGAAAAAACAATAGAAAAAACTGTCAGTCGTATCTAAGTTTGAAGGGACAGAGGAGGCATCATCAGGGGAAACAGGCGAGGTGGGGGCTGGCTGCCTAACGCATGACACGCTTGGTCTGAACCCTCTCTGGGCCCGGCTGAGGCTGGTGGGTTGGCACCAGGCAGGGGAAGAGCAAGAAGAGACCCAGGGGATGTGCAAACCCAGGTTGGGGGCCTGTGGGGGGCACAGAGAGGGGCAAAGCTGGGGGAGGCAGCCGGCCATGGCGCGGAGCAGAGCCGTAAGCAGCGAACGTCGCCACCAGCACTTGCTCGGGGACGGAATCAAAAGGGGGATTATTGTTTTACGGCTGTGTTAATGCACTGAGCTGACACAAAACTGGGCAGGCTTTCTGCCGAGCCGCCGCTGAAGCGGGCTGCACGCGCCGGCCGGGGCAAAGCGTGATGACTTAGAGCTCAGGTAGCTTCAGCGAGGTGCCAGGAGCCGAGCTCCCGGAAGGAAGCACTGGTGACCACTGCCCTGCCTTCCCACTTGCGCCGCAGCCAGCTGTTCGTTTCACATGCCCTGCTTATGCAGGATGCTTCCCTATCGAGCCTGCAAAGAAGGGAGCAACCTTTCTCCTGGTAGCTAAAAGATGATATCGTAACCTCCAACCATAACGTTTATTTTTAACCCCTCTAGGAATCACCTGCCATTTAAAAGCTGTACTTAAGAGTTTTCTCCTGCTCCACTGGAAACGCTCGCTCTTCCTGGCACTAGTCCAAACTGAGCTCCGCGGCTTTGAAAAACTAAGATAGAAGTCTAAAACATCGATATACACCTGCACAAATACAGATACACACAAACATACACACACGCGTGCAGAATCAGGTAGGAGTCACATTTTTAGCTGGCATGAATTACCAGCGTTTAAAGGGAAATTGAGTGAAAGGCATCTCTTTACATCCACCAAGAATCCCACCCCCTTCATATAAAACTATGCCTGCCACTTAATTATTAAATAAAGGGTAGCTACTAATCAAGGCCAGTTTCTAAATGAAGATATGTGGTGGAGTGGTCGCCATTAAAAAGCTGGCATTTGCCAACAGTTACCGCACAGTGGTAGATCAGAAACCACAGTTTCCCCCTGTATTGAGATCAGGAAATACGCGCGTTAATTGTGGGGTATTTTCTGGCAAATGCTCTCTTTTTTTTTTTTTTTTTTTTAATGGTGGCAATTCTGTCTGTGCATGTGTGTGTGCCTTGCAGATACATGCCAACACCGTGGCAGCATGGAGAAATATTTACGCATGCTTCCTCCAACACTAGAAAAGCAACATTTTCTGGGGGAGCCTCTCCACCTCTGGAGTCCCGGTTCGGGAACTACGCCTGCATGTTGATCTGACAGCTACACATGTGAGGCAAACGGGGAGACTTCATCCTTGGCACAGCATCCAGCACTCCAGTCTGCAAGGACTGCATTTGATTTTGTCGTTTATCTTAAATGGCTAAGAGACCACCAGTGCAAAACATTTGTGTGAAGCTTTTGCCAAAACCACAAGTGAAGAGTCTAAATTCCCTGTGTAAATACTTGAGCTTCAAGCATCAAAGATAAAATTTGTGCTCTTTTGTGAGGACTGGTTTTAAATAGAAGCCATCTCTGCTGCTCATGGGACGAGGAAGAATTTTTTATTTTAGGAGCTTAGTTGCTTGACTTTTGCAACTGTTTGATCTCTCGACCTTCACAAGCAGGTAATGATAACTACTACCCAAATCATACCTATGTTGTATTTTGTGCACTAAGCATTAGGAAACTCTGTCAGACATGGATTTCTATGTGTATATGAAACACTCTACCGCCACTGTAACATATATAGATAACAAGTTCGGGTTTTTTTCATGGAACAAGCAAAAATTAACAAAGATTCCCTCCAATGACTTAACAACTGTATCTTATATTCCTAATATTATAAAAAGAACTAGGCTAGCATAGTCTACATTGAGCTGTCTGGGCACTCGTCCTTGCTGGAAAAGTTATGAGCTTGAAATCGGGATTTAGCGTAGGTCCACAAGGCAGCTACATCTCAGGTTACACCTAGACATGTCTGTGGCCCCACCAGGACTAAGGGCACAGGCCCTGCCGTCACTCAGCCCTTGGCACATCATGGTGCCATACCACAGGTTTTGAAGGAGCTCACCACAGAGTAACTGTATGAATCCTGCCAAGCGTACCATCATCCACACCTGCATGGGGTTTTAAGGTTCAGGGGCACGGGTTCTAGCATGCCAACACTACCCTGAAAGCAATAGCATCTTGTCCAGTCCTGGTGGGTCCCATCTTTCCATTGGCAATGAATGTGATACAATCTGCACAGCCCTGGGGTGTCTGAGAAGATGTTAAGAGTGGGTGCAGAGAGGCCCTCCCTGCTCTTATCCAATACATCTTTTCTAGTGTGGAAAGGGAATGAAGGTTTCAAACAGGAGGTTTCTAACCATCTGGGCAAAGGGAACCTGTAAGATCCTTCCAAGAGAGGTACTGGGGGCAAGCCAGCAATCCTCTTTAACAAGGTGCCTAACAAATTTATGGGAAGGACTATATGAACCAGTTGCCAGTGTATGGTTTGGAACTGAACATGTCACCGAAGAAACTATTTTTCTGTCCTTTGATGTATATATGAGGAAATCTAAGTGCTAACTTACTTGCAGAAAGGAAATGGTTGGTAAAGAAGAATGGCCAAAGAATGACTCCAGCAGATCCTCATGGAGTCCCACTCCCACTCCCGAGCCCAGCGCTAAGAGACAAAGATTATGGGGCTGCCAGAAATGCTCATCTTGTGTTAGCTAGGATCATGCCCATGTTTTACCTCTCCAGCTCCTCTCCTTTGGGTTTTTTCCCCATAAAGGCTCTATTTAAAGCTGAACAATTAAGATGAGGGCTCTACCATTCTTCAACTTAACTACTACAGGTGATGGACCAACACAAAATGAACAAACAGAGAAAAAGATAAACAGATATAGGGGGATAGCTGATAACCTAAGGTGATGCTGAGAGTTTTCTGTTCAACCCATGCAGCATCAGACGAAGGAGGAAAGATAGTCCCTGGAATCCTATGGCTGATCGACCACATCACATTGCATGCAGGTTTCAAAAAGAAAGCACTTCTGCAAGCCCCTGACTGCCACAAAGGGCACAGCCACAGCCGGCACTAAGGGAAAGCAGACCGCAAGAGCTGTACTGCCATCTTAGAAGCAAATATCTGATCTGGCTGGGGTGAGCGGGCACACACGTGCAGCTCTGTGTCGCTCGGGCATTGCTGACACGATGCGTGAGGCTCGATTTTCCTCTTGGGTCAACAGTGGGAAATCACTCACCTGCACTGCAGATCTCAATTATATATTCTGTATCCATTCTGCACGGATGCGAAGGGGAGTTTTGGACGTAGCATGAGTGTGAAACACGCACAGGGACTGTCACTGTGTAAATAAAAGATCTGCATTGCTGACGGTAAAGGAGGATTTTGCCCTCATGCTTTAAACAGGCTCAGCGTATACTCAGTGCCTGTACATGGCAGTAGCTCACAGGTTATGTTGACTCCCAGAAACCGCTAAGAGTAATTTTTTTGGTCTCTGCTATTTTTAAACTCCCAAAGAAGAAATAAGGTAAACTGGACGTGACCCCAGAAGATGGAAATGAGCGTAAGAGCCTAGATGAACATGACAAAAGCCACAATCAAGGCATAAATTGCATCCTTTTGTTGTCCCTCTCCCTGAGCATGACTGGCCATATGATACGGTATATGTAAAACACCACACTCCTCTGGCACATCTGCAGAAAAGTCCCCGAGCAAAGCACAAAGATGGAGCTGCAAGCAGCATTCACAATGTCCACCTCTGCATGGTTCAGACCAGGGAACCTGATCCGGACTTAAAAGATCTTGCTTTACATCTCATGTAAACACAGCCACACATAAGCCACGTAGCTGGTGCATCCCTGGGGGTGTTGTGTGCTTCTCTGGGTGGGTGCCTGGGCGTTTATCTGTGCACAGGCAGACGGGCAGGTGCACAGGCAGACGTGTGAGCCACTTATCAGGGCACGAACCAAGTTTTAATGCGTGTCTCTCCGTGCCTGTCTGGTGATGGAAAATCAATCAATAGCTGGTTGGAGACTAAAGCTCAGCTCCATTATTAAAAAAACCTCTCCTTCAATAAAAAGAAAAACATCTGTTCGAACAGTGTACAGCTACAAATTCATAGTGCAGGCTGCTGCCTCATGCCTGCCCCGTGCCCATCACGTTCAGGGAGAGTACTGCAGATGTTTTGAGATGGGTTTTACATGTACCATTGCAGCAGCTTTGAACAAACACATCCAAAAGTGAAAGACAGACCTATTCAGTAACCTTTCCAACAGATTTTTTTTCCAAGCTTTTCCTAAAACAAGTTGTCTTGTCTAAATTACACCCTCTTACACCGACTGTCCCCACCTAATGTTAATATCTGCCTACTGTGTCTTTTTACACAGACATCAACAGGGTTGACACAGCAAACATGCACATACACACATGTACACACACAGAGAACAGAGAGACACAGATGCACCAACGTTCCCAACAGCACGTAGCAGAGCAGTGCATGCAGCCCTGCAAGCGGCAGAGACACAGCATCCCCCAGGAAAGGCCGAAGGACTCAGTGGTGTGGGCAGACATGCTAGTACACACTCATGCACAGAGTCCGGCGCTGAGCCAGACACACCTGCACACCAGCCTTTACCTCTTCCCCAGCATAAGCACCATGGGTTTGGAGCAGTTCCCCAGCACTGACTTAGGATGCCAAGGCAAAAACTTTGCTCGAGATGGAAATGGAAAGGCTCTACTGGGGAAAAAAGGAGGGTAGGGAAGGGATTTCTTGTTATATTTTGCTCAGGGATTTTTCTTTTTTGGCAGACAAGGATTCCCTTTGAATTGATACATTTCTTTCTCCCAAGAATTTCAAATGATAATGCATAAATGAGTCATAGATCAA